CCTGACCAAATTTCCATCTGTTTTGTGAATCAGCATGTGTGGCCCACTGCAAGCAGCATAGCGAAAGATAAAAGAACTGAGCTGAAATTTGAGCTGCCCACCAGAAGAGTTTGCAGGTTGAGTGTAATCAGTGGAATCGTCTAGCAGACAGCTGTCAAGAGTTATTCCTTTTTAGGTGAGTTGTGGTGGCTTGTGGCTTTCAAGGAACTAGTTCATTTCCTCAAAGTTTGTGGTATTATCCTCCTAATGCTGGTGGGGTAGATAACGATATTTCTTTACCTGACATATAACTTGTGTTGTCTTCCTTTTTTTCTTTGTCAAACTGTCTAGGGTGGATCAATTTTATTGATCTTTTCGAAGAACCAGGTTTCAGTTTGATCAATTTTCTCCATTGCTTTATTTTCAATTTTATTGATTTCTGCTCTTATCTTTATTATTTCCATCCTTTTCCTTGACTGGGATTTTTGTTTGTTTTTGGCTGGCTTGTTTTGTTTTGTTTCGTTTCTGGAGGTGAAAGTTTAGGTTTATATTGTTGAGTTGAGAACTTTCTTATTATCAACTATAATCATTAAATGCTATAAATTTCCCTGTAAGCATTACCTTTGCTTCATCCCACAAATTTTGGTATATTCATTTTCACTTCATTCCCCTCAAAAGCTTTTTATTTTTCCCCTCAAAATCTTTTCTAATTTCCCTTGAGACCTTTTTGACCCATGAGTTTAAACCATGTTATGTAATTTCCAAGTATTTGGGGACTTTCCAGATATCCTTCTATAATTGATTTCAAATTTAATTTCATTATCACCAGAGAGACCATACTTTGTTATATTTCTTTTAAATTTGGTAAGATTTGTTTTATGACCCAGGATATGGACAACCTTGGTATATATTTGATGTGCACTTGAAAAGAATGTGTATTACACTGTTGTTGGATGGAATATCCTATAAATAATGCATTAGATCCAGTGGTTGATGGTACTGTTCAGGTTTTTAATATCCTTGCAGATTTCCTGTCCAGTAGTTCTGATAACTGAGAGAGAAGTATTGAAGTCTCCAGTTATAATTGTGAAATTGTCTATTTCTCTTTTCAGTTCTTTCAGTTCTGGCTTCATATATTTGGAAGCTTTGTTGTTAGATGCATATACATTTAACATGGAGACATAATAACCCCATTAAAATGATCTATTTTGATTATGTAGTATCCCTCTTTCTCTCGGGTAATTTATCTTGCTCTAAAGTCTAATTCATCCAATATTTATATAGCCAACCCAGCTGTCTTTTGATGAGTATTTAAAAGATACATCTTCTCCTTTAACTTTACAGTTCAAGTTAGTTATTCATATATAGCAATAGCTGAGTCTAGTTTTGTTTTGTTTTGTTTTTATTTGTTTTGTTTTTATTATATTGTTTGTTTTCTATTTGATCCTTCAGGTTTTTTGTTCCTCTATTTCCCCTTTCTCACCTTATTTTTGAATATTTTCTTAGTATTCTACTTTATCTGTTCACTTTTTTCTATATCTTATCATGTGGCTTTTTAAAAAGTTGTTCTAGAATTACAATATACATACTTAATTTTTCCAATTACTAGAATTAATATTTTAAAACTTCAAGGAGGGGGCGCCTGGGTGGCTCAGTGGGTTAAGCCGCTGCCTTCAGCTCAGGTCATGATCTCGGGGTCCTGGGATCGGGTCCCACATTGGGCTCTCTGCTTGGCAGGAAGCCTGCTTCCCTCTCTCTCTCTCTCTCTCTCTCTGCCTGCCTCTCCGTCTACTTGTGATCTCTCTCTGTCAAATAAATAAAGAAAATCTTTAAAAAAAATAAAAATAAATAAATAAATAAAACTTCAAGGAGGATGTAGAAATCTTACCACCATACAGGTCTCTATGTACTCCCCTCTTTTTTTTTTTTTTTAAAGATTTTCTTTATTTATTTGACAGAGAGAGATCACAAGTAGGCAGAGAGGCAGGCAGAGAGAGAGAGGAGGAAGCAGGCTCCCCGCTGAGCAGAGAGCCCGATGTGGGGCTCGATTCCAGGACCCTGAGATCATGACCTGAGCCGAAGGCAGAGGCTTTAACCCACTGAGCCACCCAGGCGCCCCTGTACTCCCCTCTTTATACTGAGGCTATTCTTTGTACTATAGGAAATATACTGTTGGCCTGTAACTGTCAGACATATTTTTAAAGTCTTAAGGGGAGAAACATAGTATTATATTTACCCAGATATTTCTCATTTCTGCAGTTCTTCCTTCATTCTTAAAGTTCCATGTTTCACTGTGATATCATTTCCTTTATATCTGAAAAGCTTCCTTTAAAATTTCTTTTAGAGCAGGCTATTGGCAACAAAGTCTCTTAGTTTTCCTATAAATCAGCTTATTTTTATTTCTCCTTCATTCCTGAAGAATATTTTGGCTGAATATAAAATTCTGGTTTGACTTTTCTTTTAGAATTTTAAAAATGTTGTTTCACTGCCTTTAGGCATCCAGGGTTTATAATGATAAACTCCCAGAAATCATTTTTTATCTATATGTAATTTGTTTTCCTTTAGCTGTGTTCAAGATTTTTTTCCTTTGTCTTTGGTTTTTAGTGTTTCGTGCATTAAGACATGGATCAGTTTATCTTGTTTGAGATTTTCAAATTCTCCTGAATCTGTAAGTTTAAGTCTTTTGCCATTTTGACAAGGTTTCAATCATTATTCAAAAATTTTTCTGCATCATACTATTCTCTCCTTCTGAGACTCTAAAGACATGAATTTTAGACATCTGGGTACTATTCCACAGTCCCTAAAACTCTGTTCTTTTTGTTTGCTTGCTTCAAATTTTGTTATTCAGATTAGATAATTTCTACTGATCTATCTTCATGTCCACTCTTTCTTCTATCATCTCCATTCTGCTATTGAGCCTACCGAGTTAATTTTTTACTTTGGTATTATGTTTTTCAATGATAAAATTTCCACTGAACTATAGATTCTAATTAAAAGGCAGAACTTATTAGAATGGTTTTAAAAAAGACCAAACTATATGGTTTTTGTAAGAAATGCACTGATAGTCTGAATACTGATAGTTTGAACGCAAATGACAAGTAAGTATATGTCATGTAAATAGTAAGCAGAAGACTGGGCTAAAATTGACTTCAAGAAAATGATCATTACCATGAGAAATAATGTTTCATAAAAGTAAAAGGACCAATTTACCAGGAAGACATAACAATTATAAATGTGTATGTACTTAACAATAGAGCTTCAAAATACAAAGCAAAAACACACAATTCCATAAATATAATTGGAGATTTTCACACTCTTCTCTCATTCATATATACAACAATTTAAAAAAAATCAGTAAAGGCAGAATGATCACAATATCCAGAAGGATCGCTTCCCTTACAAATGGTACTAAGCTAGCCCTAGAGTAAACGCTACTCTAGAGCTATCCTAGCAGGCCTAAGAGAGATGACACTGTTCTGCAGGTTACTTAACTAATGTAAGTCCAAGACTCTTTAAAGGAATAAAACAAAATCCAGCATGCAACAAATAAAATCTACAATGTCTACTATCCAATCAAAAATACCAGACATACAAACAAGCAGGAAAATTTGAGCCCTAAACCAGAAGAAAAGCAGATTAACAGAAACAGATCCAGAAATTGCAAAGATAATGGAGTTAGCAGACAATGAGGCTAAAACAGTTATTATAAAACAGGTATGTGCTGAATACATTCACTGAAGAAAAACATGAAAGTTAATGAAAAGAGAAGTAGGAAATATACACAAAAAGTACCAAATGGAACATATAGAGATAAAAAACATAATATCTGAAAATGATAGTATCACTAGATGAGATTAACGGCAGATTAGATAATGCAGAAGAAAAGATCTGTGAACTTGAGAACATAACAACAGAAACTATCCATAGTAAATGTAGAAACTACATCCTTTTATCTCAATGTCCACATAACTTAAATGTTTTCAATGGCAGTTACATGCAGATTCATTATAGCAGATTTCTCATTTGAATAGGAAATTTGAGTAAAATCTGAATATCTGTCATATCAAATATTCACACAGTGACTATAGAGACACAGGTATGCTGAGAGCCTATGTGATTTACTGGTTCAACCAGTGTTTGTTTCTCAGCACAGCACAGGTAGCCCCAGCTGAGCATATCAAATACATTTAACTCTGAGTTCAATCTCTCACCAGAGACTGTGCTGACCCATAGCCTGAGACAACAGACAGCTCAATTTCAGGCTGGGATTCTTGGAAGGGAATAGAATGGCATTTTTCAGATTCATAATCTTGGTAAGTAGTCCAGTTCCTGCTTCCCAAACAGGTCTCCACCTAGACACCTATATTCTCATGGATGTTAGAACTCTCCTTTGACACTTACATTTGGTCCAGAACCCCTTCTTTGATACAAATAGAAGGATTGTGTGAGAAAGAGACACATCAAATCTTGCTAATACTATGGGTTCTCTCTTCATTTTTGGTAGTTCGTAATTTCCTTTTCTTGTGTTCAAACCTAACTATATATATCCTTAATGTTTAAATATTTTATTCAATATCTCTAAAATTGAGGAGAAGAGGTAATTCTTACATCTGCTCATGTTGTCTTCTCAACTAGTTCTAGATATAACTTTTTTAGTAAGAAAATAACCAGTAAGAGTATTATCAAAAGACAAATTAAAGAAACCTGTCTCCATGTTCCCATAATTTCTGAGAAGAAAAACAATCCCAGTTTTGTTAAAGAATATTAGTAAAAACTGAAAAAATGGGTCGGAGGATTGTGAATCTAAACTTATCCTTCAAAAAGAATTATTACCCTCTCAGAATTATATAGCACTTCACTCATCTCAAGGAAAAAAAGCTTGTATTAGTTTACAAAATTTCAGTTTAATAAAAATATCTTTACTAAGAATAATTCCTTCAAAACCAGATTTTATCATACCCACATTATACCCAGGCAAAATACAATTTTTCATTCTGATATTATTTCAATGATAAAATTACCTTTGTGTTTATTCAGAAGCTTGTAACCTTCACAGTATCTGCCTGGTGAAATCATCATCTTGGCTGTGTCAAGATAAGAGTATGCTGCAGCAAAATCAAACTCCTTTTTACCATCCCACCAACCTTTCCGCTTAGCATAGTTTCTCATGTCTGGATGTTCCCGATCAATCTTGGTTGTTATAGAAAGTTGATTAGAAATATTACGAATGCCCTCTATTTTCAAAGAAAAAGAGGAGAAGGGGAAAGAAAAATCACATTACCATGTTGTATTTATCTGTACATTATGATTCTTAATCACTATTTAAATGTGAATATATACTTCTAAATTTTGTATCATGTGCATCTCATCTATTACATACTCAAAAAGATAAATAGGTGTGTTTGGATGGCTTGTCAGGTAAGTGTCTGACTTTTGACTTCAACTCAGGTCATGATCTCAGAATCTTGAGACTGAGACCTGCATCGGGCTTTGCACTGGGTGTGGAACCTACTTAAAATTCTCTCTCTCCCTCTGTTCCTTCTACCCACCTCTGCCCGACTTGCACTCTTTCTCTCCCCATCCCAAAAAAGATAAATGGATTATTTTTTAATTAAACTTCTTAAACTTTTTATTTTGAGATGATTGTAGATTCACATGCAGTTGTAAGAAGTAATACAGAGCTCCTGTGTACCCATTACACAGTTTCCCCCAATGGTAACATCTTGTATAACAGCACAGCTAACTGGCATCAATACAGTCAAGATAGAGAACATTTCCTTTTCCACAAAGATCACTCATGTTGCCCTCCTATGACCACATCCCCCTTATGTGTCCCCACTAAACCCTCATTAACCCCATGCAACCACTACCCTGCTATCCATTTCTATTACTGTCATTTCAAGATTATTATACAAATGAAATCATATAGCAGGGGCACCTGGGTGGCTCAGTGGGTTAAAGCCTCTGCCTTCGGCTTAGGTCATGATCCCAGGGTCCTGGGATCAAGTCCCGCATCAGGCTCTCTGCTCGGCAGGGAGCTGGCTTCTTCCTCTCTCTCTGCCTGCCTCTCTGCCTACTTGTGATCTCTGTCTGTCAAATAAATAAATAAAACCTTTAAAAAATATATTTTAAAAAATCATATAGCATACAACCTTTTCTCTTTTTTCACTTGATATCATTCTCTAAAGATTCATCCAGGTTATTACATATATTAACAGTTCATTCCTTTTTATTGCTGAGATTATTCCATGGTATGTACTGGTTTGTTTAACCATTCACAAGCTAAAGGACATCTGGGTTGTTTCTAGCTTTTGGCTGTCATGGAGAAAGCTGCTATAAATATTTGTGTATGGGTTCTTGTGTGCATGTAAGTTCCTGGGATAAATGCACAAGATTGCAATTGCTGGGGGGCATGGTAGTTGTGTATTTAGTTTTTTTAAAAAGCTGCCAAACTGTTTTCCAGAGTAGATGCACATTCTTACCAGCAATGATTAAATGATCCTTCTCCAACTTCTCACCAGTGTTGAGTAATGTCATCTAAAAATTTTAACTCTATTGGTGTAAGTACAAAGACACCTCATTGTGGCTATAGTTTGCATTTCCCTAATAGCTAATGATATTAAACATTTCATGGGCTTTTTTGACATTTGTATAACCCTTTAGGTGAAATGTCTCTTCTTTTCTTTTGCCCGTTTTGCTAGTTGGATTGTCTTTTTACCATTGAGGCTTGAGATTTCTTTCTTATATATTTTAGATATTAGTCTTTCGTAGAAATTACTTTTCAAAAATTAGTCATAAATAAATTTAGAACAGAAATATAAGATACCCAAAAATATCATGGCAGTAAGTTATAACAAAATTGTCAACTAAAATACAAAGCAGAAGAATAAGAACTAGTTCTAAAGAGACCATAATGAATGAAACAGATCATGAAAAATGAAAATTGATAATGTTTTAAAATCAGTTTAGAATAAAGTCTTCTAAGTAGAAATCAATTAAATTACTCTAACAAAGTCATACTTGGGATATTCTCACTACAAAAACCAGAATAACGTCATGAGAGAGTCAGACACGGAAGAAGAGTTTTCCGACTACAGATAATTTGATAAAATTTAATTATGTAGTTCTTAGGCTCATTTAGTAATAGGAAGAGAAACCAGTTGGCAAAATTAATCTACAACTGGATAATCATACTCAATGCGGGTGCTCATTTTGAATATCTAGGTAGGGCTATCTTTCTCAACAGAATACATTATTCATTTCTCTCTTGCATTTAGCACACTTAATAAAATAAAGAGTGCTAGTGGTACAATCAGGCCAATTAGAAAATAAGAAAATGGTCTAAATTCAATTTTATGTATTAGGCAAAATAAAAACAGGCAAAATATAAAATAAAACATCATCAAAAGAACTGGCAATGATTGATTTTGAAAAATAACATCCACATCCTCCAAAACTCAAGGATAACTTCATGAAGACTTTCTGAACTTCTCCAGCCCACAGTGACTTTTCCTTTCTCTAAATGTTTACAGCATCTATGTGCCTAAGTCATTCAGGCACCATTTAATATTTTCACATGTGCAAATTATCTCCCCTGCAAAACTAGGAGATCCAGGAGGTAAGTCCATAAAAGTACATGATCATGCTTGAGTATAAGGCTGTACTCTAATGAAAGAATCTTGAACTGAGAGTCAGGATGATTTAAATTTAAATTTAAAGATTTAAATTCTTTCAATTGCTGCCTCAAGTAAAGCACTTCACATCTCCAGATTTCCTCACTTGAAAAATAAGAGGAATATATGGTCACTAAGAGACCACAAAAAAATGCAAAGCATCCTAAAACAATCAAATTGTGTTATTATACTCAATGTTTACACTTTACTATTGTATCAATATATTCTTTCCAGCCACTAGCTGACAGACTCCAATCCCCAGAAGCACTCCTCTTTCCTCACCTCCATATCCACATGCAATAAAAAGTTTGAGTTCAGGCCAAAGTTAAAAGAGGAAGAAATGGCAAGGGATTATCAAGAACTGGAAAAATACTATAATAGTCAAAAGAGACAGCACAGAAAATATATACAGGTTACATAAAATTAGTATCATAATATGAAAAATAGAGAACACCACCTTTTTCTCTTTTTCAGAAAAGCTCTTTGTAGCGCTCTTTCACTGTTAACATTCTTTCAAATTTTTTCATTTCCCCTGCAGATCCACCCTTCATTGCACTGGATTATAAATCTTGAGAAACAATTAAATACAATGTCTGTAGTTAAGGGGGTTATTTTATTAATTATAAGATAATTTTTTTTTAATCATGAAAAGTTGTCCATACCTTGTACTTTTTCTGCAGCCCAGTACTTTCCTGCAGTCTCCAGAATCCAGGCTTCCTTCCTATCAGCTATCAGGAAACTATTGTGATAGCTAAATACCATCCTACCCTCTGAACAATTTCCACCCTGGCCATATTTTTCTAATAGATCAACAATGACATTGAGGGCTTTTTCAGCTGTATCAGCTCTTTCAAGGCCAAGTCTAAAATAAAAATATAAGTTTTCAGATTAAAAGAAAGTTCCATCATTTCCCTTAAATAATTTCATGCACATGAGATTTTTTTGTTTATATTCAAAGCAAAAGTTCTTTCAAGTTAATGGATAAACTGAAACCCAACTTCTAAGCCATTCCTTCTAAAGCCAGTTTGGAATCATGAAAACAGTCTTTGGAATCAGATCAATGTTCAAATTCCAACTTGGTAATTTATTGGCAAGTTGCTTTATCTCAGTATCTCATCTATAAAATGAGGATAATAATATTTAGTGCATGAGGTTATTGTGAGAATTAATGAAGGTCTGATAAAATGTTAGGTACTATTCTACATAATTCACATAAAAGAATCATAATTTTCAAGTCCTTCCCTTCTCCCAATTAATGATCTTTGAGTCTACAAATTACATGCCTATATAAGCATACTTTGGAGATATTGCAGGCTCAGTTTCAGACCACTGGAATAAAATGAGTATTACAAAAAGTGAGTCAAATGAATTTTCTGATTCTCCAGTGCATATAAAAGTTATGTTTACAATATACTATAGTCTATTAAGTGTGCAACAGCATTATGTCCAAAAGGCAATTACATACCTTAATTTAAAAATAAATTGAAAAGGACTTCATTGCTAAAAAATGCCAACCATCATCTGAGCTTTCAACAAGTTATAATCACTAATCACAGATCACTATAACCAATATAATAATAATAAAACACTTTGAAATATTGTGAGAATTACCAAAATGTGACAGAGACGCAAAGTGAGCAAGTGCTATTGGAAAAATGGTGCCAATAGACTTGCCTAACATAACATTGCCACAAACCTTCAATTTGTAAACACTGCAGTATCTGTGAAGTGTAATAAGGCAAAGCACAACAAGATGAGGTAAGTCTGTACTCTGAAGAATTTTAACACAAACTATAAAGTGTCAATGTCCAAAATATGGGAAAAAGAGGAAAATAACACTTGTAAGTTTTAGACAAGTTCCGTACTGAAAAAGTATAATTAAAAAATAACCTGACAAGGTCCATGCCCAGTAGTGCCTCTTCATCACAAACTTCTTCTCTTCCCCATACAGCTTCATTTCCAATGCAAACTCCATGCTCATTGGCTCCCATTTCTGCCCCCCATAACCAAGATGGGCGACTAAGGACAACAGCATATGTTTCAGGAACTTGATCAATTTCTATGTAAGTACACTGTAAAGAAAGTCATAGCAACAACCACAAAACCAAAAAAGAAAAAGTTATCAAGTTGCAGAATCTTAAAAAGAAATCAAAAGACATGCCCACTATGAAATAAAGTATAACTTAAAATTTTCAGTAATAAAGTTACTACCCTTAAAATATATTCAGAATTGACCCTAAGCTTTTATTCATTCAAATATTTATTAAGCATCTATTACAAAGTACTCTAAGAGATATATCAGTTATAAAGATGAATCAGGTATAGATCTTGCTTTCGAGAAACTAAGACTTGTACACTAACTAAAATACAACAAAATGTAAAGCATAAGGGCCATTAAGAAAAGTAAAAATGAGGGGCGCCTGGGTGGCTCAATGGGTTAAAGCCTCTGCCTTCAGCTCAGGTCATGATCCCACGGTCCTGGGATAGAGCCCCACATCGGGCTCTCTGCTCAGCAGCGAGCCTGCTTCCCCCCTCTCACTCTGCCTGCCTCTCTGCCTACTTGTGATCTCTCTCTGTCAAATAAATAAATAAAATCTTTCAAAAAAAAATGTAAAGTAAAAATGAGATGTTAATGTAAGCTCAGAAGAGAGATGATTTCTAGGTATGAAATCTTAAAACATTTTTTAGAGGAAGATATATTCAGTTGAAGCTAAAGGGATTGGATCTCAATCTCAACGTCCAGTATTTCTTAATTAGTAACCTAAGTCCCATATGGTAGCCCTCATATACGAAAGAATTCCTATAGAAGCCTATGTAATATGTAGAAGTCACCCATCTGGTATGTCCACCATGGTGAAAAGAATAAGAACCACTGGTTTACAGGGGCACCTGGGTGGCTCAGTGGTTTAAGCCTCTGCCTTTGGCTCAGATCATGATCCCAGGGTCCTGGGATCGAGCCCCGCATCGGGCTCTCTGCTCAGCAGGGAGACTGTTTCCCTTCCTCTCTCTCTGCTTGCTTGTGATCTCTCTCTGTCAAATAAATAAATAAAAATCTTTAAAAAGAAAAAAAAGAACCACTGGTTTACAGAATATGAGAAATTTAAACATAAAGAGAGAAAGTAGAAATGGATCCAAGATGAATAAATAGTTTCAGCAAAAGAAAAAAAAGGTTTGTATACAGAAAACATCTAATATTTAATATATTTTAGTATTCAAGTATAATAAAATGAAATCTAAAAAATGCATAACTTAGCAATAAAAGCATAATATGAAACTTTAAGTTCCATGTTGAATGGATTTTTAATAAAAATTTTCAAAGGATCCTTTAATTAATGTGTATACTACCAAATGACTGCATAAAATGCATGTTAATAATGTTATTGCAGGGCCCCATAAGACTGGAATGACTTTCCCTATTCTACACCAATCAGAATACTTTCTGTCCATCAGGCTCCAGCTGAAACCCTAGCTCCCAGTGAAGTCTTCCTTGATCTCTAGTCTGAATTAACTGCTCCTTCTCCACTGTTGTCACAACTCGTTGCTCTTTCTTACATCAGTATTTAAATCACCTTACCTTATAATGGGGTTAGTTATATATACATCGTATTCCTCTACTAGATTCTAAGCTCCTGGAAGACAGAACTAGTTTAGAGAGTAGGCTTTAAATCTCTGCCCTATTTGACAAGCTTGAGTATGATAAACATTCAAATGTTTGATCAAAGAATTAACAACTATTTTTGTTATTTCAGCTTCCTCCAAATCATTGAAATAAAAGACCAGAAATCTAGTTCTGACTGAAATTATTTTTCAAATTTAAATCCTTGAATTTTTAACTTCCATAGTCTCTGCCAAATAGCTAGCTAATGATTTTTTTTTAAGCTGGTTATGATATTTTTAAAGAAAACAATTGTCAAAAAAACATGTACTTCACTTACCTGAAGATGTTCTCTCAGGTTATCATGAACTGCAGCAGGAAAATAAACCACCTCCTGTACTTCATCGCACAATCTATCTGAATTTTTTCCAAAAATAATCCTGTTACCAACAGTTGCTGGAGGTAATGCCACAAAAGTATCACAGGAACAAGGTTCCATTTTTTTAAAAACTAAAAAAACAAAAAACAAAAAAAACCATAGAAGATTCAAAATAAAAGGAGAAAAACGTTTTTAGTATATAAAAAACAAAGAATTTAACTTGATGACCAAGGGATGTTACTGCCATACCTAATACAGGGTGTTCATTAAAGTTTTAAACTTTATACTGAACTACAAAAATCAGTAAGAAAACAACATGAGAATGAATCTTGTACTACAAGAATCAGTAAGAAAATAGCAATCGCCAGTACTTTCTTCTAGTCTCTAGGTCAAATTTATCCTCTAAGATCTTCCTCTCCTGAAGTCTTCCCTGAATCTTCCACTATTTCCATATTTGAGAACCCCTGAACTTAACTCTACTGCTATGATGACCATATCTGTGTATACACATGAGTTACCATATTTGTGCACATATATGTGTCTCCTTTTGGACAGTAATATCCTTGAGGGCTAGGAATATGTTTTATTAATCTTTGTATTCTCATCACCTGAACTTATGAAAAATCCCAGTATTTCCTCAAACAAGAATACACAGATAACACTGAGAAAACTAAAATTTTAAAGACTCACTGAATCAGATAAATACAAAAATATGTCAATAAAATTCCAAATTGTTATTTCCAGGAAGAAGTTCGCATACATAACTCTGTAAATCCTGATTGTAGAATTTAGTATCAAGATTGTGTTTTCATTTTTAATCGGAAAATCTTAAATCCTCAATTTTCATAGAACATATTTGTTCCCAGAATGGACAGATTGTTTTTAATGAGTTTCCTGCTTTCCTTTATTTTATAATGCCCAAACTTTAAAATGGCTTTACACAAACAGATCTAGCAATTTAAAAACAAAACGTAAATCCAACAAATGTTTCATTCAAAAAACAAAGTGAGTCAAGTAAGAAACACCTTTAGCCTGAAACTCCTAAGATGTTTCTTTTCTTCAGTTATAGATGGTTCCTCAGTTATAGGGTAGCTGCTGTTTTCTGTGTGAATTTCAACCTTTATGTCCTGGATCGCCTTCTCTTTGTGTTCCAAAGTTACTTCTACCACTGCATAACCTTGGCAGGCTATTTACTCTCAATCTAAGCCCTCTGCTTCACCAGTACGTATCTCAGGAGGCTGTTACTAGAATATAATAAGACAGTGTGTAAAACTTTTTTGGCGTAGTGCCTGAAACATATCAGACACGCAAAAGAAAGCTGTTAGTTATTATTGAACAGAAGAGTAAATTTCTCACAAAAGGTTTATTCTTGCTATCACACCCACTGCCTCCCTGAGAGAGCACTGGATTGGTGGATCCCCTAGAGCGGTAGTAGCCACGTCCACTAAAAACCCTGGGGTGCGGGGGCCTCAAGGGCCGTCAAGCTGCACTAGATGATGAGTGCTAACTGGGGTCAGACGAGAAGCTAAGGAAGCACGCCACCACCTAGCCCATTTAGAAGGGCAAGGTTTGAGAGCCCTTCCGAACTCCTAGTACGCGTTCATCATTCAGTATACGTTCACGAACATCTTTCTGAGCCAGACACTGTCCAGCTGGTGACAAAATATAATCCTCGCTCTTGTGGAGTTGGCATCCTATTTTACATGCTTTAGTTCACCAACAGTTTTCCGAAACATCACATCGTTTGATCCCTACGAAAGTACCACAGTTTGGGCAAGAAATACTGTTTTCACAATAAATAGGTGCGGAAAACTTCATGGAACTAGAGTCAGAGACCACAGAATAAAGGGCTCGAACTTCAAACACCCCTTCCCACCCAGCACGCACTCCACACCCCAGCTGCCGCCGCTCAGCCCGCAGCCGGCTCACCTCAGACGCCGGGCCCCTCCCGCAGCACCCCCGTCCAGTCCCGCCCGCGCAGCCCCTCCAAGTCCCGCCCGCGAAGCCCCTCGCGGTTTCCCACTTCCCACCTCCGCTACGCAAGCGCCTCCCCACTCACGCTCCTCCCCCGGCCTAGGACCTATCCTCAATGAAAGGGGGAAGGGCGTGCTGCGGTAGGCGGAGGCGCTAGTCGCCGGAAGCTGTCACCTTTGACCGCGGAAGTTCCCGCTGCCCCTGGCGGCGCAGTTCCGGTTAGGCGGCAGTGTTTGTTTACGTTACCTACGGGTCCCGTAGCTACCCCACGTTAGGCTTTAAGATGGGGAAATCTTTCGCCAATTTCATGTGCAAGAAGGACTTTCATCCCGCCTCCAAGTCCAATATCAAAAAAGTAAGTAAGGGAAGCCGGGGAGGGTTCTGACCCTTGGCGTCTGGGTTCCCAGGGGCTTCTGGAGTTGAAAGTGGTGGCGTCTCTGGGATTCCTAGGATAGTCGCCTTCCCAAGGCCTGAAGCCCTGCTCTTCTCGCACCTTCTTCTCCGCTAAGAAACTCGCTGACAAAGCTGGCCCTCGATGCCTGTATTACATCAGCCGGGAGACGGGCAGCCTTCGTCTGTCGGCTTGTCAGCTATAATGTAGAGCTGTAAGATACGAAAAAGTCTGATCATAGGATTCCTTGTTACTTTCTCAGCTGATTCTGGTTTTGACTTTTCGGATCCCAGGGATCGTGGCTTCTGAGCTCTGCCATCCTGTCCAAAGGTGATTCCCTGTTTAAGATAAATCTTTTTTTTTAAAGATTTTATTTATTTGAGAGAGCACGCGAGAGAAGGAGCATAGGGGGAGAGGCTGAAGGAGAGGGAGAAGCAGATTCCCCGCTGAGCAGGGAGCCCGATGGGGGACTCGATCTCAGGACTCCGGGATCAGGACCCAGGGCACACGCCTAACGATTGAGCTACCCTGGCTCCCTATATTTAAGGTAAATCTTAAAAGGGAAATAAAGTCACTTCTTGCTTCCTCTTTTTATCCCACCCGATAATGTAGCCTCTGTCAGGTGACCTCTTTGAAGTTTGGCTCTTTATTTAACTTAATATTTTTTAATTGAAGTATACACAATGTTACATTGGGTTCAGATGCACAACGACGTTTGACTTTATGTATGTATTTGCTTATATATTTTTTAAAGTAATCTCTACACCGAACGTGGGGTTTGAACTCACAACCCCCGAGATCAGGAGTCACATGCTCTGCGACTGAGCTAGCTAGGCGCCCCCGTTTTGGCTTTTTAAATAATCAGTTACAAGTCAGCTGAGTGCAGTACAGAAAAACCCTGCTGAATAGTATGGCAGTGGAAAGCAAAAGTGGTGAAGTAGGAAAAGTCTGACCTTGGAATCAGACCTGGATTCTAGTTATTTTGGCACACTTAAGTCCTGAGACCTTATACAGATATTTAATATCCCTTATCCTCAGTCTCCCAACCTCTGAATTTAAAGTGACCAGTATTGGGAAGCCTAGGTAGCTCAGTAGTTAAGCGTCTGCCTTCCTTTTTGGGTCATGATCCCAGGTTGGTGGAATCGGGCCCTGCCTCCGGCCTTCTGCTCAGGGCCAGTAAGCCTCCTTCTCCTTCTCCTGCTTCCCCTGCTTTTGTTCACTCTCCCACTGTCAAATAAAATGAAATCTTAAAATAAATAAATAAAATGACCAGTATCAGTTACCTTGACTTGAGAAATTGTTTTGAGGACTAAACAAAGGTATTTTGAAACAAAGTACCTAGCACTGGGCCCACCACATTAGAGGGATTGCTCAATAAAATGTTAATTGCCCCTACAACACAAATTTATCTGTAACCTGCTTTTAATACATGTGTTACCCAGAGCTTCGTCCTTGGCCTATGCAATACTTAATATGCTTTCCCAGACAATCACATCCAATTTCATGGTTATAACTACTCCCTCTTTACTCCAGACTCAAATCTACATTCTAAATTTTCTCCCCCAAGCTCAAGGTACCTCAAGACAACTATATACTAGACAATGTCATCTTGGTATATTACAGGCATCTCAGTATATCTGAAATGGATATATCTTTTATCCTAAATCTGCTCTTCTTTTTATACTTCCTATTTCATATTAGTAAGAAGTAGAGGTAGGAACACAATCCTTCATCCTGACACCAAAGCCAGAAATTCAAGATTCCATATCTAGATAGCTAATAAATTGTTTGTCTTACCTTCCAAATATCTGTTGAATTCATCTCTCCTCATTGTCACTACTGCCTATTTCATAGCTTAGACCCTCATCATCTTCCGCCTAGACTGTTAAATTTCCTAACGGATTTTTTGTTGTTGTTCCAGTCTTGACCCCATTCTCAGAATAGTATTTTTTTAATTTGACAGTTTTATTGAGATATAATTCACGTACCATATAATCATTCACTTAAAGTGTACTATTCAGTGGTTTTCAGTATATTCTCAGACTTGTGCAGTCCCCACCACAATTTTAGAACATTTTCATCACCTCCCCAAAAAACCCGTTATCTGTTAGTAGTCTCTCTCCATTTGTCCTTAACCTCCCGTGCTCCCCCTCCCTAGGTAACCATGAACTTGCTTTCTGTTTCTGTAGGTTTGCCTATTCTAGACGTTTCCTGTAAATGGAATCATGCAATATGTGGCCTTTTATGAATCATTTCTTTTTCTTAGTATAATGTTTTAAAAGCTCATCCATGTTGTAGAACGTATTGGTATTGTATTCCTTTTTATTGCTGGATAATTCCATTGTATGGATATAGCACCTTTTATTTATCCATTCATCAGTTGATGAATATTTGGGTTGTTTCCATAGAGTGGTCTTTTTTATTTTTTAAGACTTCATTTATTTATTTATTTATTTGACAAGCAGGGGGAGTGGGAGAGGGAGAAGCAGGTTTCCTGTTGAGCAGGGAGCGTGATGTGGGGCTCAGTCCCAGGACCCTGGGATCATGACCTGAACTGCAGGCAAACACTTAACGACTGAGCCACCCAGGCACCCCTGAGTGGTCTTTTTAAAGCACAAATCTTATCTCTTTTGGCTCCTTGTTAAAATACTACAGGATTAAGACTTAGTTATCTGACTTGAATTTATTTTTCCTTCTTCATTACCTATGGCTATCCTTCCTCAGATTTTATACTCCAGCAATACCAAACTACTTAATTCCTATTTTACATGTTTGGGATTTTGTCTGAGTTGTTCCCTCTACTGATAATATCTTACCTTGTTTTTTCCTTGGCAGAATTTTGATCCTCTTCAAAACCGTGCTTAACATGTATGAAGTTACTTATATATGGGGTTATTTGTTGAAGCAGAGTTTAAGCAAAAGATTGGAAATTTCTTAATGCCCATCAGTACAGCAGGAGACTAGTTAAATAAATGATGGGATAACTCTATAGTAGAATGATATTCAGTGCCTCCTCCCCCCAACACCAGGAAAGCTTTTATTTACTGATCTCGGATAATTTTATTTATATATGCATTAGAACATCTTTGGAAAGGTATGTAAAAAATGATAACCTTGGGGCACCTGGATTGCTAAGTCATAAGCATCTACCTTCGGCTCAGGTCATGACATAGGATCGAGCCCCGCATTGGGTTCCCTGTTCAGCAGACAGCCTGCTTCTCCCTCTCCCACTCCCCCTACTTGTGTTCCCTCTCTTGCTGTGTCTCTGTCAAATAAAATCTTTAAAAAAAAAAGAAAGAAAGAAAAGAAACGGTAACCTTGGCTACCTGCAAACGTAGTTACTTAATTTAAAAACTAACCTCTAGGGGTGCTTGGGTGGCTCAGTGGGTTGGGCCACTGCCTTTGGCTCTGGTCATGGTCTCAGGGTTCTGGGATTGAGCCCCCTGTAGGCTCTGTGCTCAGCAGGGAGCCTGCTTCCCCTTCTGTCTCTGCCTGCCTCTCTACCTACTTGTAATCTCTCTCTGTCAAATAAATAATTTTTTTAAAAATTAACCTCTAGGGGTGCCTGGGTGGCTTAGTTGGTTGAGTGTCTGACTCTTGGTTTCAGCTCAGGTCATGATTTCAGGGCGGTGAGATGAAACTTCTTGTCAGGCTCCGTGCCCAGTGGGGAGTCTGCTTCAGAGTCTCTCATCCCCCACTCTTGTGAGAGTACTCTCTTTCTCTCTAAAATAAATAAATAAATCTTTTAAAAAATTTAACTTCTAAAAACCAAGACTTGCCATAAAGTATTACATTATACCAGACTTCCTCCTGTCCTCTAATCACTATCATGTTCTATTTATCTTATGCATATTTCTCTTATCCTGATATCAAACTTTATTATTATTTACACAATTCATTCTTCTTATTATGAAATAGCTTGAACATACAGAAAAGCTATATGATTTTTTGTTACCATATTCAGAGCATTTTGAAGGCAAAAGTGTGTTTTTTTTTTATTCCAGTCCATGGTACTTGATATGTATTGAGATTAGTAAAATAACTTTGTAAAGCCTAGAGCTTTAAATAAATGGTAGTTATTCTGTTAGAAATAGTATGTTATTCATTTGAACGTTATTATTAATGTGTTACTCTACTAGGCAGTGACACCCTGCATGTCTTTGTTGCAGCTGTTTTCACTTTGAGCTATGGTGAAAATTCCAGATGTGCTTTTTACTGCTTATCCCAAGTGTAGGGTTTTTTTGTACTCTAACATTAAGTTGGTAAGTATGAAGTCAGTGGAAGAAACTTTCAGGAAACTTACACCAAAAGAAATTTCTGGTATATGCTGTCCCTGAAGAATTCTTTTTCATTTCTGTTTTTGCTTTTATTTCCATATGAATTCCTTCTTGTCCACATCTCAAACAGTGTCCCCTTAGAACCTTCCTATTTCATCACTACTCAAATACTGGTAACTACCCCTGTTTTGCTTCTAAAATTGAGCAATGGCAGTCTTGTCCTACACCCTCCTCGCCACACCTATCTGCCCCCACAGTTAATAATTATAATTTTATCAGTGTAAGTATTTGTCCTCCAATTTACGTTCT